TTTCGAGGTACTAGGTGGCCACCAGCGATGGGCGCTGGAGGAGAGAGGCCGAGGGCGTCCCAAGGAAGGGGCTCCAGGGGAGGAGGGTCTAGAGGACCAGACAGTCCCAAGGGATAGGTGCTGCGAGGAGGAGATCCCGAAGGGGGACGGAGGCCACGGTGGGGCTGGAATCCTGGGACCCGGGCAGCTCTGAGAGCGGGGCGAGCTGGGGATGGGGAATTCTGCGGGACAGAGCAGCCAGACTCAGCCGCACCGCGGCTTTGCCCGGCAGAGCAGAGGAGGGGTGCCGGCCCGCTCAGCTGCCCGACCCTGGCCGCAGATCCCGGCCCCGCGCGGCCCCTTACCCGAACCAGCTCAGCGGCCACAGCTTCGGTCCAGCGCAGCCTCTCAACCCGGAACCAGCCGAGCCGAGCTGCCCGGTGCCCAGGCTCCCTCTCCGCCCCCACGGGCGGGACCCAAGGTACTCCGCCCCCACGGCGGGCGGGGGAGGGGCGGGGCCTCCCTGGCCTCCACTGTGCTCCTGGTCCGCAGGGACATGAAAACCAGCTGTTTCTTTCTGGGTCTGCACAGCTGCCAGGTTTGCATAGGGTTATGGCGACAGGGGACGGGTGGCCAGCGCCTAAGTAAGGACCTTCTCAATGAACAATCAATTTTTGGGTCATCAAGATTTGAGGAAAATAATACTGAGTATTAAGACAAGAAGACGCTGTGTAGTCTGAATGTAATATAACGTTTGCATAGATTGTAGGTATAAAATTGGAGACGGCTTAGACTAAGTTCAAAGCTACCACACACTGAAACCCTCAGGTCCTATTTCCTCTTCACTTGAATCCTGGCTAATGTGTGGCCTCAAGGGTTCTTGACATTCATCAAATGTTTCTTCATTGCTGCGTGTGTGTGTGTGTGTGTGTGTGTGTGTGTGTGTGTGTGTGTGTGTTTGTGTGTGTGTGTGTGTGTGTGTAGGTGGAGTAGGAGAGAAGGAAAAAGTGTAATGGGAGATCTTGTCTTTTGTGCCAGATAGAGGGGAGGTAAGGGATTTCTAAGCAGCTGTGTGTGTGTGAGGGGGGGGAAGGAAGGGAAGAGTGAGAGGGGGGAGAGGGAGAGAGAAAGAGAGAGGGAGAGGGAGAGAGAAAGAGAGAGGGAGAGAGAAAGAGGGAAAGAGAGGGGGAGAGGGAGAGAGAGAAGAGGGAGAGAGAGAGAGGAGGGGAGAGAGGGAGAGAGAGAGGAGGGAGAGAGAGAGGAGGGGAGAGAGAAAAAGGGAGAGAGAGAAGAGGGAGAGAGAGGAGGGGAGAGAGAAAGAGAGGGAGAGGGAGAGAGAGAGAGAAAGAGAGAGAGAGAGAGAGAGAGAGAGAGAGAGAGAGAGAGCAAACACAGCGGCATGAAAGGGAAGCACACTGGGTGTCCATGCTGTTGGGCTGGGATTGGAAGGTGAAAGGTGTAGAGGACTTTGTGAAGAATTCATTGAAGGCACTGGGCTTCCAAGCAGGGAAATGACCTGCCTTGGTTTGGGTTTCTTGAAGTGATGGATACTCATTACATCATCAGGACAGAGAAGGCAGGGATCCTTTCCCTTGCTTGTGGTGAGGCTTGCAGGAGGAAGGAAAGGCTGGGCCCTGGGGAGGTAGTGGCTGTCCTAGTGCCTGCAAGAGGTCAGCTCTGAGTTCAGCTGCTGACTGTGGGTCAGGAGAAGGCCATCAGATTAAAAATAGATAGACACTATGAAAAGTGGTGGTGGATAAAAGGGGATGATGGAGAGGACCTAGAGACATGAGCAAAGGTTTATTCTCCCCAGACAGGGCACCCAAGGTATAGTGAACCATCGAGTTTATTGGAATTAGTTACAAGGGCAGGGGTGACTCAAAGGCAGCTGCATCATTGAGGATCCTACCCCAGCATGAGTGACAACTCGTGAAAGTTGTATCCTTTGGGTTCCCTGTGCAGCTTCCAGGTAGCTCAGCAAGCCCGAGAGTCTCCTCTTGTCAATTACTTTAAAGTTTGTATATCCTTGGGGAGGGGTTTAGTGAATTGTGTGATTGTCTGTGCTTCTTGAGCCTTGGGAGTTTTGTTTACTCTTGGGGTCTTGTGACCTTCTCTCCTTGGAAGGAATATTTCACTCAGAGGAAGTAACTGCAGCAGGGTGGTTCCCTAGTGCCTGCCTCTTCCACAAGTGTCTTCACTGGGCTAAACTTTACTGAAGTACAGTTTAAGAAAGAAATGTTTAATTCTGTCGGTACACCGGCTACCACCCTCACCTGACTCCTGTTTTACATCGAGAAACGGGTTGGTTGCTCACGAGACAGCTATTCCTTGCATCCAGAGCCTGGATTCTGTGCAAGTGACTCTCTTTCCAGTACAACCACAGGAAGGCACACCTCAGCCCAGTGCCAGGAGGGAGCTGTGTGATCTCCCTCTTGTCCATAATGGATTGGTCGTGTCTGGCTTGGAGAAAATCAGAAAGACTAAGGATAGGAAAGACTTCTGGAAGTAGTCTCTTCATGCTTTGGCTTTAGAGTAGACATGCTGTGCCTAGTCTGAGCATGCAGCCAGTGCCTGAGAGAGAGAGAAGGGTCCACAGGGCCCAAGGGGAAGAGGAACTGCTGCTTTGGTACAAAGCCTGGGCTTTTGGATATGTAAGATGGTCCGTCTTGTTGCTTAAGCAAGTTTCATAGTGGCAGACTTTCACTTGGCAACCTAAAGAGTCCTGACTGATATATTGACACATATTCCACCACCCCCTTTTTTTCCCAAACAGAAAGGAGTCTAAGTTATTGAAGCAACTGGAAAGAAATAGGAGAAAAGGCTTGGTGATATATGAAACAGGCTTTGTTGTTCAGTGTATATATACTGATAGATGTGGGCCTTTTTACTAGGGTCTGAAATATACTATGCATTTTGTGGACTTGATGGAAAAACAAGAAGGCATTCTTACACTTGGTGCATCATTGGATGTGAGTCTCAAAGCAGTCTTAACCATTTTACAAAAGAAGGCACCTAGGTGCAGAAAATGGGAGTGAGGTAGAATCAATAGTTGGCCATCAAAAGCCCTCCTCCTGTTTGTTGCTGGTAGTAGAGAAGCAATTGGAGAGTAGCTGGTCTGCTAGAACTGGAACTTTCCGGCTTCCTTCACGGCACAGTGTGGCTCTGTAACTCAGCCCTTTGCAGTGGATTGTAAGGAGAAACAGAGCTTCAGGCAATGAGCTTTTGCTCTCCAATGTGCTGTGTCCCCTTGAGTTAGACCACGTATATACCAGGAACTTGGCTTCAGTAATCCTTCAAAGGGCTAACAGAGCAGAGATAGGGAAGGAACCTGGGATCCTGAATGACTGTATGGAGTGAGACCACCCACTGACATGGATGTGAATGAATGGTGTGAGCTAAGACAGAGATTCTGACTGTAAGCCACTTGTTTCTAAGAAATAACATCATGATTTTTTGGAGAGGAAGGAGGAACTTTCCAATAGGTATTATTGAGTAAACAACAACAATGGAAAAACCCAACAAATATCTGCAGACACTTAGACATGGGCACATGTGGACTTATGCATACACACGGACATGAATTTTAGATCCAAAGTTCTGCAGAACCATGTAGCAATTCTAAGTGTGTTCAGCTATGGGCTGGAGTTGTGAGAGATTTTAACTTTTACACTACATAGCTCTCTACTTTCTTTATATTCAGAAAAAACAGATTTAATTGATCCTTGTTATTGGTTGATTTCACATTTTCAAATTTACCTTCTCTTAAAATCTGACCTGAAAACTAATACTTGAGGTAACAACCATAGATCAAAGATATTAAAAAAAAAAAAACACATTGGTGCTAAACATGAACAAGCTTTTACATGGTCATTTTCCCTTTATCAATACATATAAAACTACATAGCATTTTCATGTGTCAGATTCCATGTGTCAGATTTTCATGTGTCAGATCCCATAGATGATTTAAATCTATGGGTAGATGTGTAGAGGTTATATATAATACAGTCTCGTTACACATGGATTTTAGCACCCATGCATTTTGGTTAATACAAGAGTCCCCAGAGATCTTTAAAAATGGTTGGATATTTTCAATAAAGTGTCTTTAAACATAAACATGCATAACATGAAGTTACATATTGATAGATGACTGAAAAATGTGCCCAGGGACTTGCAGGAACCCAGCCCTGTGTTTCCTCTCAGAGCGATGATTCAGTATTTGCAAAGTCAGTTCTTGCGGTGACTTTATAGACCATAACTACCCCGAATAGTGAGAGGCGGCTGTATTTAAAGCAGTTATGTGTACCAGCACCTACCAGTGCAAGGCACCAACACCCACGTCCCTTTCCCTCTAGGCAATGCTGGCTCAGGCCTTTGGCAGGGAAAGAGGAGGGTGACGGCCTGGGTCTGAGTGACCCTCTTGGGCCATGCACTGATCTAGGTGCTTCATGCCATTATTTTAGGAAAATTTCAAAGCAGCCCTCTGGAGTTGACATTTTTCTCTCTGCAATTGCAGAGCTGGAATCTGCGCAGAGCTGAGAAGTGGCCTGTGTGAAACAAAATCCAGTAGGCGATAAAGCTTCCTCACACCAACCTGCTGGGGCAAGCTCCACCAAGTTTGCTGTCGCCAAGCGGTCTTCCAGTTTTCAAGCCCTCCCCATGGGTTAATTGTGAGGTGGGACCCCACTTCATCCCTCCCCATCACCCAAAGCCTTACTCTGACCCTTCTAATTTAGGGAGACTCCCTGCTGCTTCTCAGTGGGGGACCTCGCCTCCTACTGCTCGAGGGAGTAGAGCCCCTGCCCAGGACTTCTCCATTCCCAACCCCCTCCAATAGGATCCTCAAGGTATCTATAGAAACACTGTAAGTGCCGGGCGCCACGAGGCAGTGCAAAATGAACCCACGGATGAAGTCAATACATTTCCATCTTCATTCATGCACCTTCCCCCAGTCACAGAGGGTGAGCTGGCCTGAGGTTCAAAAGGAGTTCCTCCACCTCCGCCCTGGCCCAATCCCCTCAGGCCACCTCTGGGATCTGACTCTTTCAATTATTCCCTTCTTGACTCCATTCTGCCTCCTTCATGGCCACTGCTGCTTTTCCTCAGGCTATAAACATGCTCAAGTTTCTCCCAAAAGGCCACGCCACAGTTCCCGCCCCATGGTCCTCCCTGCCAGCCACCACCCCTTGCTGGCCTTTCTCTAGGCCAGCTTCTTGAAAGAGTCATCTGCACTTCCTCCCCTGCCATGTACCAGCCCACGACTCCACTGAATTCTCTAATAATCTCCTAATTGCCAATTAAAAATAGCTTCTGATGTGCCGGAGCCGTGGTATGAAAACAAACCTGAGGAAATTTAAAATATTCATGAGTCCTCCATCAGAAGGATGTAATACTTGGATTATATCCTTTAATCACATGTAACACACACACACACACACACACACACACACACACACACACACACACAGAGAGAGAGAGA